AAAGCGCTAAACCTTACGCAAAGACGGAGAGCAACTGGAACAAACACTCAAAAACGCTGTTGCAGTGTGTATAAACCAAATTGCGGTTCTATTGTTATTAGGATCCTACATAGCCCTTTATGAACTCCTCATAGGTCACAAAAATGAAGAATCGAAAAGTTGTGGTAATAGTGATTTCGTGCGCTCTCCGGTCCCTTTTAGTTCCAAACTTTTTCGAAGCCTCAGAAGTCGGTGCTCGTGAGTTGTCCCGCTGCCTACCCGTATCTACCCAAGCATGATGCTGATTTCTATTGGTAACCCTTGAACATGGTTGTTTATCTCGCTTTGTTCGTGACAGCAAGCCCACTTTGATGAGCACAAGTGATTGATCGGACAAAGGAGATAACGAGGAGACGAAGAAGCTCGGAACACCATCATTCACAACTAGCGGAACATACTAGTAGTTCACTGCTGCACGGCCATATCAATTTATTTGAATGAGGCGTACTAATGGAACGAACCAAGAGAGGGACAGAAAGCGAGTGGTAGCCTACAACAAACATTCGAGGTGCCTAAACCTCCAGCACTCGGTCACAATCTGGGTGGAATCTGACAGCTTGAACGCCACTGGCACCGTTGTGCTAAATCACGTCTACTTAAAGTTTGCGCCATTATGGAGGGGACGGGGAGAACAACACGTTCTGATATATGGTGCTTCTACATGCACAGAAGATGGAAGAGACTATAACAGATGGCACTAGATGTTTTCTGTGACCGAACATTCTGCCGCATATCAACACCATGGCCAATGACAGCAATACCGGATAAAAGCACTGCTGCTACACTGTCTTACGGTGGACTCGTGAGCCTTTCTGCGTAGCCGAGGTCCCCCATTTTGCCATACTTTATACCGCCTCGCGCAGTGCCATTTTGCACTGGGTTTTCCGTACCTGAAAACGGCATACCAAGTTAGTCCCACAGAGGTAAAGTGCAAAATACTGATATTCCGAAGTACTCATTTGTGCCCAGTCCTGTAAACACAGGCAAGACTCTACGGACTCTGGGCTGCTACAACACATTTTCAAGATATTTACCCCCAGCATCAAAATTTCGTCAACATTAGCATCAGAGGTTAGGTTAGGCACTCAGATGCACTGTGTAAGGGGTTCCACTTCTTCGACAGTTTAGCGGTAACGTTCAATTAGCCTGCGATGGCAACCTTTCCCGGAGTGAGCCTTCTACCCCCAACTCACTTGGAAACAAAGAGCATGGGTTTCATGAGTCAGTGGTTTGGGCGCTTGCGTACATAAGGAGTAATTATTTGAGAACTGACCCTTGTGGAGCATTAGTGCTTGCGGCAGTCAACCCCGACATCTCTGTCCTTTCGCCTGAAGTTCTCTGAAAATCTGCTCAAGAGAGCAGGAAAATCCACAATCTTTAAGTTTGTGACGTAGAAACCTGTGGTTGACCGAATCGAATGCTTTTTCCTTTTCGAGGTAGCATATATCCGTCTGCCTGCCTTTGCTCTTGGCATCCCTAATTCTATACGGACCAAGTGGAAGATTAGAGAGGCAGAACCTCCTATAGTGAACCCTGGATTTACAGATTTGGGAAGCTTATCCATCGTGCATTTGGAAATTTGCAAGTGGACTATCCGCTCCATAAATTTGGATAGACTATTGGTATTGGAATTAATTACCCGGTTAGGTTCTTCATTCTTCGGGAAATGCAAGAAATCATTCTGAGGTGACCTGGAGTCAAGTTTGTAGTGTTCTTCGCGATAGAAGTGTAAGGGCAGTGAGATGTTTCCTTCGGACGACCAGCGTACACATATTAATGGAAGCGGCGACGCTACCTTCATTGGAGCATGGACCGGTCCGAATAAGTCAGCTTTAATAGCCTTATGCTCCCACCTAAGCGTTGACCGTGACCACCAGCGAATTATTTAATGCGGTCGAGATAATCTCACCGCCAAAAACTAGTGCTTTTGTGAAGACTCCTGTTGTGTGTACTCGCATCAGGTGTCAGACAGCAATACCTTCCTTCGCAATCGGGTTAGGTCAGCTCCTGCAGCCAGATGGGTCATACTGCCGCGTGATTGGGTCCGGGAGCTGTCCCTAAAGAAAGCCCTCAACCGCTGCTTCGCCGTTCAGTCTTTTGCATCAGAGGCTACGAGAAAAGTACCCGAACGAAGTCTTCAACCCCCTTCACTCCCTTATGGGTTTCACTTATGGGACAAAGGCTAAGGTTGCTATACTCTGACCGAGCCTCTTTCGACCTGGGCAAACGAGAATTATCATTCACCCTTGCGGCCTCTCATTCACTGACTTTCCGCCGAGCCCCTCACCCAAGTTCTGATTCACTTAGATGTCAATCACCTAACCGCTCCTCATAATCGGAAACAGCAGCATCAATGATACTGACGCACAATCATGAAAATCACGGAAAAAATCGTTCAGCCGTAGCACCCTTTCGGTGTCTAACTGCCATACCACCAGAAAGAGGTCGGGTTCGAACCCAGGTAGCCCAAGTCTAGACTGGGGAAGTTGAAAGGCAGAGGTCGGGTTCGAACCACGGACCATCCAACCACCGAGCCGTCTCGCTCCACAATCGCGAAATCTACCCAAATATGCTTAGAACCTTAAAATGAAAAAGAGGAAAGACTGATTGAGAGACCTGGTGTTGGCTTACCACAAACCTTTATGGATGTCTGCACCTCCACGCGGTCATCCAGACAATCTAATGGAACTGGCAGCATGAACGCCACTGACGTCAATCAATCCATATTCCTTGCAATGTCTCCCACCAACCCAGAGAGGGGAGTCATATGAACCGCATCCTGGAAGGCGGACTACAATAACAGCACCCACTCATCTCTTCCCATCGTTCTGAATTAGAGCTAATTAATTGTTGTTCAAAGTATAGTGCTCAGTGATCCAACCGTTCTCCTTTACTGGATATCAGAGGTATTGTGGTCTCAGGCGGTTACGATGATAAGAGCTTCCGAGGACCAGTGGGACAACTCACGGAGTTTTCCAGCATTTCTCGCTCCTTCCATCTCTTCGGTCTTTCAGGTCCATCGAGCTTCCCGGTCTGTATGGACACTCAGTTTCACCTTGCTTCGGATAATACATCGGGTTGGGTTGTGTTTGCAATCAACAGGAATCTGCCATTCAGCCTTCATCAAAGTCATGGCCCTACCAGAGATCCAGTGCTTAAATGAGATTGGACGTAAGTTCCTGGATTGAGTAGCGCTTTGGGCATCTATCTGCAGTAACCATTCGTATACAGCAGGGGTTCGAGGAGCCGGTTCCGATAAGTTTGTTCGATTTCTGGGTCCATGAGTTTCTCAGTGGTTGAGCCAAATTTGTGCGCTTTCAGCACACCTGGAAACCGCAGCGAGAAGCAGCAGGAACAAGTGCAGGGTCGGAGTCCATGCTGGCACTCCAGAACTAGCGGCAGACACTGATCGACCGTCGCCACCTGTAACTTGTGGCAGTGCGTACTGTTTTGACTCGGGGCTGGTCCATTTGTGGGTGCCACGTCAAGCGATTACCGCTGGTCTGGAAATCGATGCTGCAGAGGAACAGTCTGTGATCGACACACATCTCTGGTTTCCATGCGTCTTGTGTCCAACCCAACATGACCACCCTCTGCGAGCAGCGGAACTAAAACGTCTTCAGAATGTCTCCGAACCGTTGGTCATGGCAGCCGATGTCGGCGAATCCGCAACGAGCCAATTGGAAAGCAAGTGTTTGTTGTACAACAGGGACTTCAACCGAACAATGTATCCAGCTCTATATGTTGTGGTGTTCTGATTATTTATGGCGCATGCCGAACCACCGTTTGCCCAAAATAGTGCTGTTCTCGGTGCTCACTTTAGAGCGGTACAAGCATAGACGTGGTCAACTTTGACCTGGCAGAGGGAGATGAAATAGATTACGAAAAGTTTGGGTACTGTCGGTACGACTTGCTTCCAGGATGGTGTCCGCCGGAACCCCCCAATGGATTGTTGGAGACGATGCAAGATATGACTGCTAATCGATGTCGGTGGCTTTTCTACTATCCAGAGTAACTCAGTGGCTATCTGGAGTTGTATACACCTTAATAGCTATTAGTCTAGCACCACCGTTCAGTTTTCATTCTTTTTTTTATCAGGACAGCAAAACATCGGTGTTTGACACTGATGTGTTGTCGATGACGATGACGACCACAGTAACGCCTAACGTACCAACCTGAGCATTCACGTAACCAGTGATCACAATTGTATCTGAGCTTTTAGCCAATTGTAAAGGAACACCCAGAGAATCCTACAAATAGTCTTTGGCATATTTAGAGCTACTGTCTGTCAGGACGTAAGTAGACGACATGGAGCGACAGACCTCATTATTGTCGACTTTCCTTCACAGGCGTTGCCGAATGAATCGCACAGAGATCACTACCAATGGGTATCCAATCAAAAAGATACCAGTCACGTGGCTTAGGCTTACTGTTCGGTATGGATTCCAGATTTGAGCACGAAGGCCTTTTGTGTGTAGCATCCCGCTTAATTCTCAGGAACTTAGTATCTCCTTGTGGGAATGAGTTTTGTCTGTGGTAGGGGCAGACTACTCCTAGTGATCCGTTTTGTACCGATACATTCACCATATGTCAGCTGTGTGAGTCGGACTGAGCAAAGTAGACTGTAATTACTTATCATAGTGATGTGCTTTCAGACATAGAGCCACATCATGCCGCCCATCTTGTCTACCAGCCCTATAGTCAATATATTTCAGAGGGCATAGATTCTTAGAGGTCTGGCTCTTGTCACGTGCCTGTCACTACTATTATTGGTGTCAAAAGTTTCTGTCCATACCTATCCTGTTTTTGGCGCTACTGACCATAAATAGCTTCATTCTTTTCAGCGACATACCAGCTAATTCGGTGCAGACCACTATCTCTGTTGGTTGTAGATTGGTTCAGCAACTCCGTTATTGTGGTCGGCTTGAACTTTCAATATCTTTTCGAAAGTACACTGAACAATGGCAACTGCCCTTCTGCAGGACCGTGGACCCGGGGGGTTTTCGTTTGAAAACTGCTACAGGTATATCACGCTTATACGTGCTTGATTTCTTCGTAGAAACCAACGGCTAGAAAAATCTGGAATGGCCTTACCGAAACCCATCAAGACTGGGACAACAATTTGTGGCGTAGTGTTCAAGGTTGGTAGTTTTCGTTCTCATATATCCTCAGGATGGTGTCGTACTTGGAGCTGACACACGGGCGACCTCTGGTAACATTGTCGCGGACAAAGTTTGCCAAAAAATTCATTATATTTCAGATAAAATATAGTAAGTATTTTTGGAATAATTCTAATTCCTTTTAGTTGCTGCGGTGCTGGTACTGCAGCCGATATGATTATGACTACCAAGATGCTTGCTGCGAAAGTTGAGTTGCATCGTCTAAATACTGGTCGGCAGCCAAGAGTGATTCTGCCCTTGAGACTCGCGAAAGACTACCTCTTCGGATACAGGGTGAGAATCGTGTTGCTTACGAATGGCTTTTAGGGATACATTGGCGCGGCTCTCATTCTTGGTGGTGTCGACTACAGTGGTCCTCATCTATACAGCGTTGCACCTCACGGATCTAGTGATAAACTGCCATACGTCACAATGGGAAGTGGAAGCCTGGCTGCAATGTCCGTCCTAGAATCTCGATTTCGATTTGACATGGATGTAAGTTCCGGTTTCTGTTATCAGGTTGGTGGATATCCCTAGTGTTTTGATGTTTCCTACTTCAACTTTACGTTTTTTGTTGAATGAAGTACCGGCGATCGCTGAAACTCAGAAGCACTCTTTTGCATTGGCTCTTAACTTGTTCTAATCGTTCTACAGGTATCTTTTCGGGTGCATACTCACTTTCGATGAAGGGTGACCTCTCCGAGCTCAGCTATAAATGACAAACCGTCTACGCTCGGCGTGTTAGTTAGTAACAGAATAAAGGAAAATATCCATCGCTGTCGAGTATGCTGATGTTTTTCTGCCGTAGCTTGACCAAATCCAAGAGGATCGCTGCACATCACTGTCCTCAGTTGCATGTGTAAACGTAGTGTGATGATGTGACTGCGTGTACTTTATATTCACGTTCAAAATTTCATCTCTGTGGCTTCGGTATTGATGGTCGTCGATGGATTCACCTGGATTACACTGACTGAGACCTACACCCTGGACGATTTCCTTCTTGTTTAACTTTTTGCTTATAACCTTCACTACACGGGCCGTGTGTTGGATGATGTACAACTAGGCGTTACAGAGAAGTCTCACAAGTGCTATCTCTCGCTGACATGCGACGTGACTCCGTGTATTCTTACATACCTACATAATGCAGGTATCGTATTCCCGACCTCGTGCTCCCGCACCCGTCGCGTTCGGTTAGCATTTGCTTTGATTCTGTTTGTAAGTCTCCTTTACAGACCATTTCGTTTCCCTTGGTGATAATTTTTACTCTAAATTACTTTCTCAAAGAAGGCCGTTTTTAAGTAACGATGAACTGCTGCATGTAAGCATATGAAGGGGTCCTTAGTTTCTTTCTACGTAACGTAGCTTCTTGCTGACGTTCGTCTTACCAGATATTCTTAAAATCAATCAAATCACTCAATTTTTTCCTGGACTGCTGCGAACGACAAGCCAGTATATTCAGAATTTCACCTGTCAGTCGTAAGGCTATTGTTGGATGTGCTTTAGTCGTGTCTTCTTGGCTAAAGAAAGATTTAAATTGGGGGAGAACGAACCGCTTTACATTAGTCGACGTAACATGTTGTTCGCTCGAGAGAATCAATACTTTCTGAGAACGTAGTTCGTGTTGATTCGTTCTGACAACAAAGCGGACTTAATCTAGAATTTTCAGCTGTAAGTCTTTGACATTAAGGTGGGTTGGTATCCTGTCCCTGTTTCTGAGTTTATTTTTGAGAAGTGACTAATTTCGAATCAGGAGCTCATTGCACCAAGTTGATGCCTGATGGTGGGTACTTGAACTTGGATACCTTCTCGCGTTACTCTCAGAAATCCTATTTTCCCCTTCACTACGTAAGCCCACTATCATTAACGACGGATTCTCATAACAATAGGAAACGATACAAGAGCATAGTCGAATGCCAATTTATCGTGTGTTTCAAGCCCGTGGATTGAAGTTCTATTTATCTGAAGCTAAAAGAGAGACTGATAGAGATAATGGGCGAATCTGCGGGAAGAGTTGTCATGTTCCGGCGTTTGTGCGTACCGGTCGGTCCGGATGCACTTACCTACGTTCTGACAAACAAAACCAGTTTGTCTCTGGTGGGGGTTGTACTGTGTTCAGTGCGCTCCATTTTGTCGAGCGTGCTACAACCGTGTCTACCGAAAACAACCGCTAGTGCTTTTATTATTTTCTTGTCGATGCCTTCAGAGCGCTTCCTTGATTCAGTGGGGCGTAAGGCGAGTGTTCTTTTGATACGCCCGGTGTTTTAGGGAAGACAACTCGTGGCCAATTTTGTTCAACTCACACACCTGGTGTGCCAGAAGATCGCGTACTAGACAGAATTCTTTCGCCCAGCTGTGTTAGTAAAACAAGTCCAAACGTGGTCAGCGCAGCATGAAAACCGTGACTAGTAAACGTTGCCGCGTTGTTAGCTGTTTTTTGCGCATGGGACACATCAGTTGTTAGCTGTGCTGATAAATGGGATGATGTCAGCGAGTCACTGGTGGCTCCGACTCAAGTTAATTTGTTGCCACGTTTTCTTGGATTACTAGTCCGGCATATTTCTATGTCAACAAGATGCCGGCTGCATTGAACTTCCGGGATCCTTGCACACTATCGCTTCCCTATCATACCTATCGTCGGTGAATAAGTCGTCTGCATCCACCTCAAACAAGTATATCAGAACACAACAACGGCGCAGCACCTCCTTATTTGATTTTGTCATTCATTTTGTACACGGTAATTCATCATAATTCTTATCAATGACAGCAGGCAGT